TAGGGATAGGCCCTCAAAAACTAAGGGAATCCTTAAGATCGGCATCGAGGTGAGGTGATGTCAAACATAGGGATAGGGATATGTTCCAGGCTGGTAATCCAAGAACGGTCTCGGTCGGGACATCATCAAATAATCGCGATCTTGGGGGCCCTAGCCCAAGACGCCTTATGATAAGAAAGAGCGTCTCGCACGAGACATCCTCGAACAATAACGATGTCGGTCCCAAGATGGCCCCAAGACGGCCCCGGAGGCCTCCAACACGCCCAAGATGGCCTCCAAGACGGCACTGGAGCACCCCAAGAGGGCCCCAAATCGGCCCAGAGAGGCCCCCGACGGCCCCGCCGACGGCGTCAGACGGGCCAGGAGGCCACCAATAGGGAGCCCACAAAGAACGTACGCGCCCAGCTATGTACATGAACACGGCCCCTCGATCCGCGAGACTGGCCGAATGATACGAACATTCGGGCAATGCGTACTCTGGAAACCAGCGTGGATTCATGTACGTGTACGTCCTCGTTTCGCTCCTGAACCAAGACTTCGAAAGATGGCTCCAAGATGGCCCAAGGCGGTCCAAGAGGCCCCCAAGAGGTCTCCAAGGCGGCCCAAGAAGCCTCCAAGAGGGTCTCCAGAAGGCCCGAAGAGGCCAAAATCATTAATTGTCCTTAGGTGTTTGACAGAATTTGGTATGTGCTTCTTTCCGGCCTTCTGACGGCACGGGACGGCCCAAACGCCCCAAAAGATCGCCCCAAGATCGCCGAAGAGGACTCCGAGATGGCACCAGAATGGCCCAAGAAGGCCCCAAGAAGGCCCCAAGAGGGCCCCAAGACGGCCCCAAGACGGCCCAAGAGGCCTCCAACACACCCAAGATGGCCTCCAAGACGGCCCTGGAGCACCCCGGGAGGACCCCAAGAGGCCCCCAAGACGGCTTCTGACAGGCCAGGAACGCCCTAAGACAGCAAAAAAGTCCCCAAGAAGCCCCCAAAGGACCCCGAGAGGCCCAAGGAGGCTCCCCAGAGGCCTCCAAGAGACCCTCGGGAAGCCCTCGGGAAGCTCCGAGAGTGCACCAAGAGGCTCCCACGAGCTTCCCCTTCTCCTGCTCCTACTCTTCTTCGTCCTCCTCCTCCTCCTCCTCCTCCTCCTCCTCCATTTTCCTTCTTCTCCTCATTATTCTCTTCCTTACGTTTTCCCCGAAGGGTTTCAACGACGGCTATAGCATGTATCAATATAACTACCTCCTCGCCTCATCCGTCCTCCCCCTTTGTCCGAGCTGGTGCGTCCGTTTCTGACTCCAAACTCCAATTCCCCCCCTCATCATCAAGTGCCTCCTCCCTTCAGCACAGCATCCTCCTTCCTTCTCTCCCCCTCCTTCATATCTTTCTCATTCTCCCTTCCAAACCCCCATCCTCCCGCATCTCCTTCGACTACTCCTCCTGGGGTTCGAGGTTCAACTTATCATGGCAAAGGGCACGACAATATGCAGTTGTGGGTATCGCCGTTGTGGGTATCGCTTTCGGTTGATCTCCTTATAGGGCCACGCAGCGTGCACAGGGTGTGCCGAAATGGGGCGGGGACGCATGTGGGCGCAGCCATTGAGGCCTTCGGTGCACTTCATATGGGGTCACGAAACGTGAAATTGGGTGTGCCGAAATGGAGCGGGACCGCCCTGCGAACGTCGTCACTGGGGCCTTCGGTGGAGTTCCCTATGGCGCCACGCAGCGCGTGAGGGGTATGCGAACATGCACGGGGGGACGCATGCGAACGTCGCCACTGGGGCCTTCGGTGGAGGTACCCATGGGGCCACGAAACGCGCGAGGGGTGTGCCAAAGTGGGCGAGGGGAGACGCGTGTGATCACAGCCACTGGGGCCTTCGGTGGAGCTCCCCATGGGTGGCGCGCACACGTGTGACAGCCACTGAAGCCTTCGGTGGAGCTCCGTATGGGGCTTTCGAAACGCCGTAGTGAGTGGCGCAGGACGCATGCGGTCACAGCCACTGGAGCCTTCGGTGAAGCTCCCTATGGGGCCACGAAACGCTGTACTGGGTGGTGCGGGACACATGTAGACACAACCACTGCGGCCTTCGGTGGAGCTCCGTATGGGGCCACCAAACGCCGTAGTGGGTGGCGCGGGACGCATGTGGTCACAGCCACTTGGACTGTCGGCGGAGGTTGAGATGAGGCCACGAAACGCCGTTCTGGGAGGCGCGGGACGCATGTGGTTGCAGCCACTGGGGCCTTTGGTGGACCTCCCTATGGGGCCACGAAAACGCCGCACTGGGTGGCGCGGGACACATGGTCACCGCCACTGGGGCCTTCGGTGGAGCTCCCCATGGGGGCTCCGAAGCGACGTACAGGGGGGCGCGGGACGCATGTGGTCACATCCACTGGGGCCGTCGGTGGAGCTACCTAGGGGCGCGGGACGCAGATGGTCACAGCCACTGGGGCCTTCGGTCGGGCTCCCTTTGGGGCCACGAAGAGTTGTACTGGGTGGCGCGGGACACATGTGGTCACAGCCACTGGGGCCCTCGGTGGAGCTCCCTATGGAGCCACGCAGCGCCGCAACAGATGGCGTGGGACGCATGTGGTCACAGCCACTGGGGCCTTCGGTGGAGCTCCCCATGGGGGCCACGAAGCGCTGTACTGGGTGCGCCGAAATGGTGGACATGCAGAGGGAAGAGGCCAGGGTGGGAGGGGGAGACAAGGAGAAGAATCAGGAGGAACGCGGGGCGCTCTCCTCAAAACGAGGACCAACACCACAATATGGTTGGGAACAAATCGTCTGGGGGTTACTGTCTCGGTGATCCGAGAAATTAGTGTGTGGGTCGAGAATGCAGTCCAGGCTCCGGAGGCGCGATGTGCGTGAATTGCGCGCGTGTGGCCAACCAACTCACTAGACAACCAACCAACCCACCAAACAACCAACCAACCAACCAACCAAACAACCAAGTAAAGAACCAACCAACCGCTCGATCAACCTGGAACAACAATTGCTTGCCCGGCAACTGGACGGCGAACACGACGACGGCGAGGACGACAACGACGACGGCAACGAGGACGACGACGAAAACGACGACGACGGAATGGCATGGAACGGGATTGAGTGAGACAGGATGGGATGTAGGATGGGATGCGAGGGGATGGGATGGATTAGAATTGACTGGACTGGAATATGAAGAACGGAACGGCAACAAGAACACCCACAAACGGCGGTGGCTCCGTTCCGTTCCGTTCCCTTCCATTCCAGCCCATTCCGATACATTCCATCCCATCGCATCGCATCGCATCCGAACCCATTCCATCCTATCCATCCCATCCCTCTCCACGTCGTCGTCGTCTGTTCACGTTTCTGCTCCTGCTTTCGTTCCTGCCGTCTATGGGTGCTACTGCTCTCGGTTCCGTTCCGACAGATTCCATCCCAATCCAGGCCATTCCATGGATTCCATCCCGTCCAATCCCATCCCATCGCATCCCACATGCCATCCCGCCCCATCCCGCTCCATTCGGTCGTCGTCGTCTCGCCGTCGTCCTCCTCCTCGTCATCGTCACCGTCGTCGTCGTCCTCGCTGTCGTCGTCCTCGTCCTCGTCCTCGTCTTCGTCCTCGTCTTCGTCACGTCGTCGTCGTCGTTGTCCGTCGTCCGTCATCCGCCGTCGCCGTCGTCGTCGTCGTCGACGTTCTCGGCGTTGCCGCGTGGCACGTCGGGTCTACTGTTCCCTCCGCTGCGTGCGCAAGTGGCGAGAAGAGTAGAATTGGATGCTTCCGCCCGTAGTGGAACACTCTTCCTCCGCCCCCCTGTGGCATTGCCACGTGGCGAGTGGAGCGGAATCGTAGTGTTTGTTCGCCCCCTCCCCCCCCCCCGGCGTTGTCACACTCGCCATCGCTTGGCCGTTCATTCCCTGTGTTTTTTTTCGGTCTGGTGCGTGTGTTTCTTTCGTAGAGTGATCACGGATGCTCCTCGAAGGTCCTCGCCGAAGGAAAAATGCACACGTCCGAGCGATGCCCGGCACGTGACGAGCAGCGTGTGGAATAGTATGCTGGTTCGCCCCCAAGCGTTGCCACGTGGTGAATAGTGGGATGGTATGTACGTTCTGCCCTGGGGCGGCGTCGTGTGACGTCTGGATGCCCGGTTGAAGTTGCATTGGATTGCAATACGCTGGACTGCATTGACACTGAACTGCGTCTGCGTTGCAATCCAGTGCTTCGCACTGCGCTGCACTGCACTCGCAGCTGCACGGGATTTCGTTTACAGACAGGCCGAACACGAGTTGACCACCAGCAAACGCCAAAGTGGCCAAGCAGCAAATCTACTAACCAACAAACCAGCCAACACATCAGCCGGCCTAGCTACCAACGAGCCAATCAACCAACCAACCAATCCTTCCCGTGGCGATGAATGGTTCTCCCACACCGCGGGGCCTGGATTAGGTTTCTTTGACCCAGCAGCCAGGCAGCCAACCAAGCAGCCAACCGGCCAACCACTACAGAAAGATGTGTTTGACCCTGCACCTAGCCAGCCAAACAACGAGCCAGCCAAGCCACACTTTGGGGGGTGTTTTTTTGAGAATGTCTCACACGGCGGGCCCTGGAATCCACTCTCTTGACCAAGAAAATTGCTCCAGCCCAGAAATGTTCAAATCCCATAGCCCCAAGCACATACATGTTCTTGACCCTTCTCCCCTTCTCATGATCCCTCCTGCTTCATAATCCTCCTCCAACCTTGCTCCTCCCCATGACCTTGCCTCTGCCCCCTCCGACCCTCCTGTCACCGGTCCGCTCCTCCTTGTCATCCCGCATCCCTCCTTCCTCGTCCGTCCCATTCCTCCTTCCCCGTCTCCCCTTTCTCCTCCTTCTGTATCCTCCTCTTCCTCCTCCTCATCATCATCCTCCCTCCTCCCTCCCTGCCCTCCTCCTCGCTCCTCTCTCCTCCCTCCTCCCTCCCCTCCTCCCTCCCTCCTCCTCTTGGCGCCACCAAGGAGCAGCCGGACGGAGTCGGCCCGACGCGGACCGAGTACCCAGACGTGGGCCGCGAGGAGCTCGACCCGCCACCGTCGGGCATCTGGAAGAGCGACCTGCAGGCGGAGGGGCATCGGCCCTCCAGGCCGCAAGCCTGGAGGGCGCCAAGACCCCCTTTGGGACACGAACTGTGTGCACCAACTCCACGAAAGCCAGCTGGTCCAGCACAAGACCGTGGAACAGGGGTTGTGCTTGGGTGTCGCGTAATGGGGGGGGCGATAAATTGAAGGACAGCGAGGTCTGCAGACAAAATGCCCTTTCTTAGGGCCCTTTCTTAGGGCCCCCAAAGGGGCTCTTGAGGGGTCAAAAGGGGGCACTCGGGGCCTGAGAGGAGCACCTTTCTCCCCCCCCCCCCTTTAAGCGACGCCACATGTGCACAGAAATTGCATCCCCCGTGGAAACTCGATCACCACAGCCGCAGACAAATCGGACTGGCACAGGGCGACGCGCGCGGGGGAGGTGGCCTCGAACCCGCCCGCGACCTCTGGAGCCCTGGACCCTCTCCCCGGGGCGGGCCGCCTGGTCCTCCCGAGCGGCTCTCTGGCTGCACCGCGCCCGACATCGGCTCCCAGAAGCCACACACGGAGGACTGAATCTAAGGCCGCCTCGCTTTTGTCGAATCCGCCAGGTGTCTATGCTCCTCCTATCCTCTCCTCTCGGGTCGGACGAAAAGAGGCACATCAAGGGTGAATCCGTTGTGAGATCGGCGCGTCTACAAACTCACACGTAACCTTCCCATCGACAACATGACACGGAAGCCTCCCGTGCCTGATCCTGCACTGCCCTCCGATGTTGTGTGTGTGTGTGTTTTGGTGGCCCTCGCCTCTTCGAGCTTCCAGCGCTCCATGACGGCCCCAGAGGCCCCCAAGACCGCCCCTACGGCGCCGCATACTCTCCTTCTGTACACAAACGGCCGGAGCGATAGAGAGACGGCGCCTCGCCGCTGCCACGAGGGGCAACGACAGTGGGGGAATGGCATAGGGGGGGTTGCATCGACCTGGAATCGGCGATGCATCGCCGATAGATCGGCGATAGGCCCCCGATAGTGAATCCGCACCTTCCTGGGCGGGTTGGGGCTATCGGGCCCCTACCGGCGATCAATGGACGATTGGGGGTCGATGCATCCCCCCCTATGCCTATCAACCCCGATCGTTGCCCCTGAAGACATTCGGAGCGAGAGTAAAGACGGCGCCTCGCCGCGGGGCGGGGAACGTTCGCCGGCCGCCCTGCGCCGCGGGGGGTCGAGCCCCAAGATCCTCCCGTTCGCGGCGCAGAGATGCCCATCGGCCGGAAGAGGTAGGTAGAACCATGAGGTAGGAAGGCGTTGGAAGCAGATTGGGCTCCGTCCGCCCCCGCAGGAGGACGGACAAGGTGAGGCCGCTCGATCATGGAAGCAGGAAGGCGCTTCAAGGTAGATTGGGATCTGGAAAGCCAGCAGTACCTACATTCAACGACCGATGGGCCAAGCTGGGGCGAAAAACGGCTCGAGCCCGGCCCCGGTCACCTGTACACGACCTGGACCAGGCCGCGCCAGCGCAAGCGGCGCGGCGCGCCGCCGCCCCGAGAGGCCAGGCGGCGCGGCTGCACCCCCAGCACCCCCAGCGCCGCGGGGGGTCGAGCCCCGTAATCTTCCCTTTCCGGCGCAGGGAGCGCAGGGGCGAGGCGCAAATGGAACCTCTATATCAACCCGACCAGCCATAACTGGGGGAGCTGTAGTCCTTACCCCGCTGGGGGAACCCATCGCATCGACGATCTCTCGAGAGGGGTGTCGACATCGGTGCGTCCCCCAGGGGCGAAGGACCACAGCTCCCCCAGTTGTGGCTGGCCTGTTAACGCCGGTCTAGTCCATGTTCACACACTTGGAATGCTGTGCTCGCAGCAGCCGGCAGTCACCCAGGGCATCTGCTCACAGCACCATCCTCTCGAGCGCCTGGTTGGGCACGCGCGTCAGCCAGCGGTGGTCCAGTGCGGGGTCCGCGCGCTCGGCCTGGCGCTGCTTCAGCAGCCGGTAGCGGTTCTCCACGAGAGCCCTGTTGGCGTATCCGATGCACAGGGTGCGGGCCGCCTCCGGCCTGACCGTGGCGCGCCCGTGCAGGGTGCGCCAGTTGTTGGTGACGACCACGCTCCCCTCCGGCCAGTCGAAGTGGTGGACGAAGCGCGGGTCCTCGCACAGTCGCGACCACAGCCTGTATGCCTCCATGAAGGGCTCGTACACGGAGAAGGGCAGAGCGCAGACGCCACGCTTGGTCTCCGACTGGACGACCTTCTCCAGGCGCCCGCTGCCATCGAGGACGATTATCGGGTGCGTGTGGACCAGCTCGAACGGGACGCCCCTCGAGCCAGGGTCTGCCGGGTTGCGGGGGGAGCCGTCAGCGGTGTAGAGCTCGTTGCGGGAGCTGTGCGTGATGTTCACCGTGGTCAGCAGCTCGTAGGCGTCCGGGTGCTCCACCCTCAGGTGCTCTGCCAGGGCAAGGCCGTCGGCCACCTTGCTGCGCACGTGCCCCTGAGCCTGGTGGAGGAACTGCAGGAAACCAGGCGTGCCTTGGTACACGCTGTGGTCGGTGTGCATGGACAGCGGGTTCGAATGGTCGTAGTCCCCAGAGTGGGGCTGCGCCACTTTCTGCATGAAAGCGTACCTCGTGCTCCTGACGGGGTGCTGGTTGAGCCTGCCGAGTATCTTCTCGCAATGAGCCTCGAGCGGGGCACCGGCGTGCTCCATCTCCAGACTCTCCGGGGTGCCGACCCCGTGCACCATGGCGACACCTGGGCAGGTCATCGCCTCGAAGAACTGCGCCTGCGCGTCCAGGTCCGACTCCAGGTGCCTGGCGTCGAAGGCGGGGACCTCGACGCCGCTGTACCAGGGGGTCCGCCCGCCGAGCAGGCGGTCCATCAGACTGCCGGTGCCCTGGATGAACCGCTCGCCGCCCGCCCCGGCGTGCAGGGCCTTCCCCACGAAGGGCGCCAGCGAGTGGAGCCACTTCGCCTCGAAGACCTCGGGCCCGGCGGGGCCCGCCTCCACGCCCTCGTACTCGACCGACAGGCGCTCGCCGCCGCTCTGCGACTCCGCGCCGGAGATCCTGAGCCCGCCCATGCCCCACACGTCCGTCGCAGACTTGCGGTAGTAGTCGGCCCCCGCGCGGGTCGGGGCGGAGTCCCTCAGCCACGAGGCGTGCACCTCGTAGCGCGTGCCGTCGGCAAACTCCACGGACAGCTGCCTCCCGCCGTTGACCGACTTGCAGTCCACGACTGCGTGGGGCTTCGTGCTGGGACAGCTCGCGATGACCTTCGCCGTGCCGCTCGGGGTCGCCCGCACCGCGCCTGTTGCCGACAAGCGGGCGGTGGCTCCACTGAACCGTCCGCGGCCACGGCACAGAAGGGCGGCCATTGCAGTTTCGCGCGCGGAAGGTGATGATAAGGAAGGGGGCCAAAAGCACAAACGAGCTAACTCACGAGCCAACTCAATCGGCGCGTGTACAAACTCACATGTAAGTAACATTCTCAGCAACAACTTTACACAGCAGACTTCCATGCATGATCCTGTACTGCCTTCGGATTGGACGAACGGAGGGGATGGCACCTTACGGGGGGTAGCGGATCCAGCTGGTCTCTAGGGCGACTCGAGGCGCTGGTAACGACCATGCATCGAGACAAACTCGGAGAATCGCGTATACAGAAGCTCCAACGAAGCTCCAGGACAAGAGGCAACACGACCTGAACAGCATACACAAGAGACGGTACGACGCAGGACGTCACGCCGACTGTGCATCCAGGAGGATCAGTTGGGCCCCCCTGGGCGCTCCTGGAAAAGACATCGGCCAGACGCCATCGACGTGAAGAACTCTATTGGCCTTCCTCCGTGCACGCAGTTGCCCTTACCCATGAGAGCAAGAAGAGCCACTACTACCAAAACTCCATAGAGCTCCATTCCCAAAGACCAACCCCCCTTAGCTGGTGGCTCCTTGTTCTGGGCCCTCTCCCGGGGCGCGCCCCGAGCGGGGTGCCACCAGCTCTGGGAGAAGAGCGGCCAGCCCCCCTAGCTGGTGGTGATGGTTTTTTCTTCTCTGGTGACTTACTCCGTTCAGTCAGGTTCGCTACATCCGCTTCAGCACAATTCGAATTCGAGCATACTTCAATTCCTTGGACTGGACACGAGGCCATATGTGCGACTTCTAAACTGGACAGACACCACGGTGTGCACCTGAGAAGCAGAGTTGAGCACACACGCCAATGTGCACATGAACATTCAGAGTCAGGCATTACATGCGCAAACAGAAGCGATGAGGATGGCTGTGGCTGAAATCTAGCGAGTGCACTTCTGAAAAAGAAGGCCTGTTCTCCTGCGTCACGGGCCGTGAGGGCTCCTTCAGCGTGGGCTGCATGGACGCCCGAGCGGCCTCCCGCTTCCCGCAGCCCCAGAGAGAACCCAGGATCGCGAAGCAAAAGACATGCCGTTTCGAATACAACGGGTCCTTACCTGCCACTCTCCCAGCAAAGTGTCTGCATTCCCTCTCATTGATCCCTGCTTTCCTGGACGCGTCTTCGACTTCGGGGTTTGGAAGCATGGGATGACTGCGGGAGGTCGTTGGTCGTCCCCGAAACCACTTGTGAGCCCCAAGAGGCTCCTGTAGCCTAGGCGACTCCGGGGAAGCGCATGGTGGCTCTTCGACGCAATGTCCTCCCCCAGCCGACATGCACCCCCATCCACACTTCTCCTCAGATCTGTCACCGTGCCGCGAGACGCTGACTGGCGTGTCCTCAGGTCTGTCGAGCTTCGAGCTCTTTGTGGTGGAAATAGTAGATCCGCCGACGCGCTTGCAGCAGCTGGTGAATCTGTGTGATTGAATGCGCGTGCGTGTGTGTGTGTGTAAGTGTGTGTGTGTGTATGTGTGTGTGCGTGAATGCGCTTGTGTGTGTGTTGTGTGTTGTGTGTGTGCGCGTCTGTGTGTGTGTGGTGTGTGTGTGTGTGCGTCTGTGTGGGGAGGGGCGGGTGTGGGGGTAATTGTGTGTACCGCGCCCTTGAAATTATCGTTCGTTACGCATCTTGCGGGGTGATAATTCAGGAGCCCCTGGAAGATCGAACCCAGCATCATTTGTTTGACAAGCTTTGGCTTCCACTCAATAAGGAGTGCCGCAAACCGAAGCGCGGGTTTGCACCCTCATGGGAACCTCCGCTTGTCCCTGCTCCAATCGCCGTCTAAACGGGCCTCTACAGCCCCACTCGTCCCACCCCAAGACGGCCCCAGATGACCTCCCAGACAGCCAAGATTGCATCAAAGTCGGACGAGACGGCCCTAACTGGCCTCCACGACGGTCCAACGTGGCTTTCAAGAAAGCAAGGGGCCCAATACGGACCAAGATGCCAAGACGGCCCAAGAGTCCTCCAGGAGGACCCCTGTGAGGGCCCGAAGATGCCCAAACCATGTGTCCTGCATGCGTGCTTGAAACATTGCACTTGTGGCACCTCTTCTGCTTCCGACTCCCCAAGGCGACCCAAGAAGTCTCCAAGATGACCCCAAGACGGCCCAAGAGGCCCCAAGAGGGCCCCAAGACGGCTCAAGAGCGCCCCAAGATGGCCCTCAAGGCCCCCAAGAACGCGAAGATAGCGTCAGAGAAGATGGCACTACATGGCCCCCACGGCGGGCCAGCCACACTGCTACCAAGACGAACCAAGAAGGCCCCCAAGATGCCTCAAGAGACCTCCAAGAAAACACCTAGGAGGGCTCGAACACGCCGAAATCCTTACTTGCCAGCCGAAATCCTTACTTGCCAGATGTCGCCGAACAATTTTTGCGGTGGCGTCTCTTTGGGCTTCTGGTCTCCAAAGCGGCCAAAGAGTCCTCCGAGATGGCCCCAGGACGGCCCAAGAGGCCCCAAGGCTGCGCAAGAGAGCCCCAACATGGCCGAAATGTGCCCAAGACTGCTCCAAGAGGGCCTCAAGATGCTCCACGAAACATCCAGGGCGGCACCCAAAGAGACCCCCGAGACGGCCCCAAACGGCGTCAGACGGGCGAAGAGAGCCCGAAGACGGCCCAAACGGCCCCCAAGAGACCCCGAGAGGAAGAGGCACCCAGAAGACCCTCAGAGGGTCCCAAGGGAGCCATGCCGCGAAGCAGTGGGCGCCGGCTCCCCAGACGGGGCGCCACCTCCCCAGACGAGGCGGAGCACGAGAAGCAGAGATGGTGAAGATGATGATGAGGCTGCCTTGCTTGCCTTGCCGCGCTGCAGCCTCGCTACGCCGCTTCCGCAAATGCGGCGGCGAATCTGCGCGGCAACGCAACTGGACCCAAGAGGCCCCGCAGCAGAGGCCCTCAAGACACCCAGAGAGGCCAGCAGGAAGGAAGAAGAGGCCGAGGCGGTGGACCCAAGTCAGCACCCTGGCTGACGCGGACCGGGTCTTCGACTAAACCTCCTTCCTGCTGCGCCGTTGCGCGAGCACGGTGGCGACAATCCACTCATGCGGCTGGACAACCAACATCCCCGTCCCTACCTGGGTGACCCACCGATCGCCCCATCCAATTCCATGTCTGCTTTGGTGGTTTTACGCGCTTCTCCTCCAACCACCATCTTCCCCTTCGAGAGAAAATTGCTACTCCTCCCTTTCCATAGGCAACACCTCACTCTCCCGGGCTGGTCGCCGACTAGGATGCATGAGGGCCGCTCTGCACTCAAAGGTCAACAGCAATACAATTCACGTGGCGCGCCAAAAACCTGTATCATGAGGGGGCACCCCGACATCATCTTGCACCGAATTTCGATGGGGAGGACGGGGAGGGTGAGCACATGTGTCCGCTGTGATCTCTCCGACTATCGTAAACGGAAGCTAATGCAAACTGATTCCGGGTGCAGGAGGGGAACCTACTCCTCTCCTCGTCTTATCCTTCGGTTGCTCCCCTCCTCTTCTCCTTCTCCTGTCCTCCCCGTCACCCCCCTCTTCCTTCCTTCTTATCATGGTCACCCCAAGCCGGCCCCGCCCTGAGCGTCTGCGCGATGGTGCTCCTCGCCAGCGAGTGCCGCGAGAAAGGAGGAGACAGGCAGTCGGTAAGCTTCTCGCAGATCGACTCGCGACCGATAACTATGTATTGTTTCTCGATGTGTGCACGTGCGTCCAGACATCGTCATGTGGTGATCACTGCAGAAAGCATGCAGCAACATTACTCGAATCGAAGCTCGACTGACACCATTTGACAAGACATTATCCAATGGTGAAGTTCAATTCTCACCAAGAAAGGATTCAAATGATAATAAACCTGCGAACTGAACTCGCCACTGACTAGACAATTGCCGCAACAAGGCGGTTCCTTTTGGCTGCTTGGTGTTGCGGATTGTTTGGGGGGGCATCGACTGGCCTCCAGTTTTGTATCCTCAACAGTGCTTGCAGCGGCGTGTATGTGTGCATATGCCATGTACTACTATTTGTGTCAGCTGCGCCTCTTGCAAAAGCAATACCATTGTTTGCAAACGCCCACCCCTGACCTTGGTCACAAAACCGCCAAAGGAGTCTCAGCCCCGCTCCCTGTCATCCAACGCCCTCGCCTAAGTACAATCCCCAATGCGATTCGGATACTCATCATTGTTATTTGCAGCGAGTTCGCAAGAACATTTCAGCCGATGTTTGTGTGCAGACGGATTATTCCGCCGGTGTGGGCTGGCTGCTCAGTTCCAGGCTTCGTGTGGGCTGCGGGTGCGGATCCCAGCTTCCAGGTCCCATATGGAGAGCACAGAACGGACTGGAGTATGGAAATCCGCCGCCGTGCCCCATGGCACCCTGATGCGTGGTAGAATGCCAAGTTTTGTCTGGTAGGGTTTCTGAGATCTTCTAGGTGGCCCCCCCTCCCCGCCACACCTCGCCGCGCGCACCTGCCCTACTCCAGGGGGGCCCCTGGGCGGCCATCGCTCGAAGACGCCCAAGATAGCGCAAGAGGCTTCCAAGGCGCCCCAAGAGGCCTCCAAGAGGCCTCCCAAAAGGCCCCCAATGGCAAACATCAGTGGTTCCCCTGAGGTATTTGAAAGATTGTGGCGTTCTCGCCTTCTTTGCTTTCCGACGCTCCAAGATTGCCCAGAAGGCCCCCAAAACCACACCAGAACTGCCCAAGTGGCCTCCAAGAGAGCCCCAGGACGGCCTAACAGCAACCCAAGACGGCCCAAGAAGGCCCCAAGACAGCCCCAAAATGGGGGCCCAGAGAGGGGGCCCGGAGCGAAAATCCGAGCCCTCCGCCCCAAGGGGCCCCCAAGAGGCCCCCAGGAGGCCCCACGAGGCGCTCAAGAGGCTCCCGCGAGGCCCCCAAGAGGCGCCCAAGAGGCCCCGAGAGGCGCCGAGGAGGCGCCCAAGAGGCCCCGAAACCGCCCCCAAGGAGTCTCAAAACTGCATCCAAAAGGCCCCCAGAGCGGCCCCCCACGAGATTCCAACAGAAAAACTACTAGACCTATATATGACCCACAACCCAAGCACGGTGGCGGGACTTGCCGTAGGCAGCTGGGCTAGAAACAAAACACTCCGCCACCGCGCTTTCAGTGGGTGGTGTGAACCCCGTGCGCGTATTGTGTGTCGTGTTTGTTGTGTGCATGCGTGCGTGTGGGCGTGTGCGCTTGTGTGTGTGTGTGTGTGTATGTCTGTGTGTGTGCGTGTGTGCATGTATGCGTGTGTGCGAGTGTGCCCGCGTGCGTGCGCGTGCACGCGCGTGTGTGTGTGTGTGTGTGCGCGTGTGCGCGTGTGCGTGTGTGTGTGTGTGCCTTTGTGCGTGCGTGCGTATGTGTGTGTGTGTGTGCATGTGTGTGCGTGTGCGCGTGTGTGTGTGTGTGTGTGCGTCTGTGCGTGTGTGCCTGCCGGTGCGCGTGTGTGTGTGTGTGTGTGTGTGTGTGTGTGTGTGTGTGCGAATGTGTGCGTGCGTGTGCGTGTGTGTGCGTGTGTGCGTGTGTGCGTGTGGGCGTCCGTGGGCGCGTGTAGGCGTGTATGTGTGTGTGTGCGTGTGCGTGTGTGTGTATGAATGTGTGTGTGAGTACGGGCGTGTGTGTGTGTGTTTGTGTGTGTGTGTGGGAATGTGCGCGTTTGTGCGTAGGCGCGCGTGTGTGCGAGTGTGTGCGAGTGTGCGTGTGTGTGTGTGTGTGCGTGTGGTGTTGTGTGTGTGTGTGGGTCGGTGTGTGTGCGCGTGTGCGCATGTGCGCGCGCGTGCGCGAGTGTGCCCATGTGCGCGTGCGCACGTGCGCGTGTGCGCGCGTGTGCGTGTGCGCATGTGCGCGTGTGCGCGTGTGCGTGGGTTCGCGTGCGCGCGCAAGCGCGCGCGCGTGCTCGCGTGTGCGCATGTGTGCGTGAGCGCGAATGTGTTTGTGTGTGTGTGTTTTCGCGTGTGTGTCTGTGCGTGTGTGCGTGCATGCGTGGGCG